CACAAGCTGCATGGAACTAAAATCTGTTGCTCCAAGACTTCCTCATTTCAGTAACATCTATTCAGACTCAATATGGATGAGATTTCACCTTTATCCTTACTCTGCGTTCCTGATGGAAAGAGTGGGGACGCCTCCACCTCTAGAACTAAGTCCACGATGGAACGATGCGCCATCTGGTCCTCCTGTAAGTGCTGTGACGACAACCGGGGGAGGCTGGGTGCCAGTGCAGCTTCATGCACAAGAATGAGCCTGGGCCAGACGCGGTCTGTGGGCTCTGCCGTGTTCTCTCGTTGACAAGACAGAGACTGTAGGGGCGTTTCCCTGCCTGGGTCCCTGTCCCACCCTCACCCTGGTTCCTTCCTCCCACTGGGAAGCTTTCCACTGACGGGATTTCTCTGCAGTCCTGTTCCCCAGAGGGTCCCAAGTCTTTCAGACACTTGACTCTCCCTGAGACCCAAGTCCTCTTTCATGGGATCCCAGGAAAGCTCAGAGAGCTGGCTGGACATGCGTTTATATGATCCCAGGATCTTTGTCACGGTTCAGTGGTTTTGTCTGCCCTGAGCCCACAGAGGACCCCTGGGAGCCAGCACCCAGCTCCACATCCCACCAGCTCTGTCTCAGGTCACCACGACCCCCTGACCTCCTGGGAAATGAGGAGCTTACTCAATTGTATCCCAAGGTCCTGCAGCTCGACACACTTGTGGTTTTCTAGCAATTGCTAAGAGGAGAAACAGCAAAGCTTTGGAAAGGCTCTGTGCTGAATAACTGGTGAAATCAGAAGAAAAACATAAAGCTTTGCATTTCTAAGCATTCTGGCTGAGTCAGCAACTCCAGAGTCTGCAGCTTAACGTACCTGAAGTTTTGGCGGCTCCCAAAATTTAACCCAGGACTAGTTTCACCCGAAGCGAGGGGATGGCAGGTTCTGAAAAAGGGAATGCAGAGCCCCGGGATTCTGGGGCTTAACGGACAGGCACATCCGGGGCCCACCCAGAGCCTTGCTTTGCTGCTTCACCGGACCAGGGCTAGGATGCCCCCCAGGGCTTTATCCACTTAGGGCGATGTTGCACGACTGAAATGCCCGCGCCCCCAGGCAGGAGCGATCACGCACCGTTTCTCACTTAGATGCTCAGGCTCACTGCAGCCTGCCAAATGGCAAGACACCTTTCTGCCCTTCCCATGTCTCAGAGCACACTGCAGGCCGGAAATGCAGGGAAATTATCCCCCCTCTGCTTCATACGGTATGGTTTCTTTCCTGTCACCCCTCTGTCCCCACCAAACAACAAGACCCAGGCACCCAGGGAGACGCCACTCAGAGCCTTCCTGCTGGCTCCAGCCTCGTCTGTTTTCCGGAGGAGTACCAACTACAAAGCTTGAAAAATGAAAACATGGAAACGTGGCTGGGAAAGAAATCACCCCCAAAACATAGTGGCTTAAAACAATGATTTCTTCTTTCTCTGGATTCCGAAGGTTGCTGTTTCTGTCTCTGCTGGCTCGCTTGGACTCACTCAAGGGGCTGCATTCGGCTGGAGGGTCGGCTGGGACAGGGGCTGGAAAAGGGACTCGCTCGCCAGCTTGGCAGATGCCACTGGCTCTTAGGTGGGGCGCGTCAGTCCTCTGCCACCTGCCTCTCACCCTCCAGGACGATGCTGGGCTCCCTTCCTTACACACTGGCCTCAGGACCACGCTCCGAAAACGGTAGGAGCCGAGGCTGCAACGAGCCTTGGAGGCTAACCACCCACCTCTGGTGTAGTCTCTTGGTCAAAGCAAGTCACGTGTCATGCCCAGATTTAAGAGAACTAGAAAGAGACTTCCCTTGTCGATGGAAGGAGTGGCAGAGCCCCACTGTAGGAGACCACAGCATCTCAAAACCATCTGGAGTACAACGCAGGTGTGAAGTCCGCCTGACCAATCCCTGTCCAATGGGGAGGGCCGTGCGGGAGGGGCTTGCCCCCTCTCTAGACAAAGGCCTTCTCTGTTGATAAAAAGGCAAAAGGCCTGGGAAACCTTTGGTTTAGGGCTCAGAGTTGAGCTTCTGCCTCTATTCATTAGAGCTACCTAAGTCATGAGTGACAGAAACCCCATTTGAAGTAGCTTTGGCCAAAAGGGGAAATGTCAGAGAGATCGTGGGTCCCAGGAAGGAAAGTGTTGGAACCTTATGAAGCAGGGGCTCGATGTTCCGGGACTCCTGGTCCCTCCTCCCCGTTTCTCTGAGGACCTGGCTTCCTTCCTCAGTCTGGTCACCGAGTGCTTTATCTCATGGTGGCAGGTGGGGCTGCCAAAAGCTCCCAGATTTGACAATTATTGGAGAGAAATAGGCCCCAACTCCTTACTGATTTCAAGTTCAAAACCACTGGGGAAGGAACTCATCAATCAGAAAGTGGGAGGCACATTTACAGACCAGTGAACTAAGGTTGGGGGGCAGGCTCACGTGAGCACATAAACCAAGGTGGTGGGATCAGAATGAGGGTGTGGAATGCCAGGCAGGCGGAACCACAGACACAGAGGCAGCCTGCCTGGGCTGGGGTCCCGAGGCCACGCCCCTTATTAGCTGAGTGTTTCAAGTAAGTTACTAAATTCTCTGTGACTCTGTTTCCTCATCTGTGAAATGGGCATAGCTGTTCCTATAAAGTTGTGACAGCAAAAATGCTTTGATCTATGCAAACCTCTTTAAACAACGCTTATTCCCTAGTACGTGCTCACAGTGTTCGTTATTATCAACAGGAGGAACGGATTTTTGTTACATTGGTGTGATGAGACAGTACAGAATATATAGCAGGTCGGAAAAGTTTTTTGTTGCCTGGGAACTAAAACGATTAATTTGGGGCAAACATGTGTAGTAAGGGTCTTTTGTCTGCCTCAGAAATGCTTCCTGGAAGTTTATAGTGGGGATGTTGATTCTGATTTGTCCAACAAACACACTTGGTATTGCTGTCCCCTGTGTTCCCCGCTGGCTGGGCACAGAGCGGACCCACTGGGGAGGCAGGGCAGACTGCCTGCCCTCACGGAGGTGGACCAAACACCTCGCTGACCACACAAGTGTGGTTTTCTAGAAAAGTGAAGTTCCGTCAGGCCAAAGACAGCTGTGGCAAAGCAGAGCGATTTCCCAAAACGCCACAGAGGTTGGCCTCTGCTGGATCTGGGGCTGCACATCACAGCGAAAGTTCACCTCCAGGCTATTCAGAAACAGTCACTGTCCCCAGTTTCCCCCAGTCCCCTCAACCTCCATCCCCAAACAAACACCCAGAAACACCCCAAATTAACCCAGTCCATTCTGGGTCAATGGAAGGGAGGAAAAAAATTGGTGAGTGATCCCTGAAGCAAACACCACAGCCGCTCTGGTGTAGTTTCCCAGGAAATTTGGTCCCTTGACTTTCTCACTAACTCATACATCATTTGTGTCCACCTCTCCCGCCAGTACCAAAATGAATTGCTCTTGAATTATCCAGGGAGAAAAATATCTGTATCTCTAAAGCGATAGCGCTCTACAAGCTACCGTGTTTTATCCTCGTCGGGTCAGAGAGGCCTCAGAAGGGGCTGAGGGCCAGTCCGAACGCGGGCAGGACCCACCCGGAGCCAGCCCGGCCCTCGGGAGAGACAGCTGAGTGCAGTCGGGTGTCCATCCCTTCAGCAAAATATTTGAACACAGCTGTTCCCCCACATCCTGCCACCCATGTGGTTGTGTTTTAAAAGACGGCTTGAACTTGAAGCAGTTTCCATTTACAAAATTCTTTAGCAAAACGCTCTTTCCAATAACAATATTCCCATGTGTGCCTTTTGCTTCTGGTATTTTCCTTATAAGTGAATCTGCGAAAACAGAGTCCTCTGGTCCTTTGGGGTTTTTTTTTTTTTTTTTCTTGTTCCAACTAAACTATTCTTGCCGTCTACCAGTTGGTTGGGTTTTTCGACGTACCCTTCCTTACGTTTGGCCTACGAAACCAA